AACGCAAGTAAATGTGAAGCAGTAAGTTTTTAGTGGGAAGAATAGAGAGGTCACCTTACTTGGAAGGTGCAAGTCCAGCTGGGGTTAGAAGAACAAAGCAATTTTTGGAGTATAAACATATCAATCATTAAAGGTTGTGTCCCACAGGTTAGTAAGACCATTTTAAAAAAGTAAACCAAATATTGTGGTTTAATTCTAGTAAGACAGAATTGAAAAGTAGAGAAGTGATTCACAAGTTGTACCAATGTTTGTTTAAACCAGTTGAAGAGTTGAACCATGTGAAGTTCTAGTCACCTTATAAAAAGGATAGAATGGCACTCAGGACATTGCAGAGGATGTTTACAAGGATGATGTCAGGAATGTGAAAGTGTACATATTAGGAAACAAAGAAGATGGGTGTTGACGTAATTGAGCTCTTCAAAATTACAAAATGTTTTGATTGCATGGATTCGGAAAGAGTGATTCGACTTGTGGGAAAGACCATATATATCATTAATGTGAAATAGTCACCAAGAAATCCAAACAGATTATGGAATTCACTACAGCAGGGAGTGGTTGAAGCAAATAGTATATAAGCATTTAAAGGGAGTCTAGGCTAACATATAAGCAAGAAGATTGTACAGAATTACATTGCTAGATTTAGATAAGGCAAATGGAAGGCTCACGTGGAGAATAAACACTGGCATGGGCTATTTTTACTTGTTTTTCATGGATTGTTGATACAGCAAAAATATGTTGCCCATCCCTAATGGTTCTTGATGGTGGTAATGGGCTGCCTTCTTGAATCACTACGGCTCTATGTGGTGTAGGAACACCCAGAGTACTGTTTCTATTCCAACTTTGAAGGGATGTCACGGTAATTTCAAATCAAGATGGTGAAGGATTTCCAAGAGAACTTGCAGGTGATTGTGTACCCAAATGCGTGCTGCCCTTATCCTTCTTGAAGTTGCATGTTTGAAAGGTACTGTCAAAGGTGACTCAATGAGTGGCTGCAATGCACCTTTTGTTTAATGCACACTGCTGCTACACTATGGCACACTGCGCAGGGTGGTGGAGGGAGTGAATGTTTGAGGTGATGGATGGATTGATGATAAAGCCTGTTTATTTAACATAGATGCTGTTGAGATTAATGAATGTCATTGGAGATGTGCTCATCCAACCAAGTGGATAGTATTTCATCCCACTCCTGGCGTGCGCCTTTCTGGTCAATGTAAGCCCACAGGATGTTGATGATGAAGGATTCAAGAATTGCAATGTCATTGAACGTCAAGGAGAAGCAGGTTTTCTCTTGTTGAAAGTGTTCATTTTCTTAGCACTTGTGTGGCATGAATATTACTTGACATTTATCAGCTCAAACCTAAATGTTGTCCAGATTTGCAAAATTGAGCTTAATGCTGTAATAATCAGTGAACATTCCTATTTCAGACCTGATAATAGAGGGAAAATCAATAATGAAATAGTTGAAGATGATTGGGCATGGGACACTACCTTAAAGAACTTCTAAGGCAATTTGATTGACCTCCAATAACCACAGTCATCTTTCTTTTTACTGGTATGGCCCCAAATAATGTTGAGCTTCACCACGCCCCCCTCATTAACTTCAATTTAACATAAGAAATAGGAGGAGTAAACCGTATGGCCCATATATACCAAATGAAATGCAGATTGATATCAGTGGACTTCATTTAATCTGATATTGTATGTTACATGCGAAGAGGCAAGACAAGGGGAGTAGAATCAATTGGATTCCTCTACCAATATGTTGGTACTGGCACCAAGGGCCAAATGACTTCCTATCTTATTGCATCATTATGAGATTCTATGAACAAAGGCATGAATGAGAGTTTCAGCAGCAGCCCATGTATCCAACGAGACACAGTGAAGACCTTTGGATGACTTTCAGCTGTAGGCCATAAACATTCTTCCCTGCTCCTTTTTACTTCTTTTAAGATGCTCCGTAAAATTAAAACAGAAAATGTTGGAAATAATCAGCAGATATGATAGCATTTAACCACTTAAAATCATGATCAACCCTTACAGCCCGTGTGGCTCAATGTCAGTTTTGTTTGAGATGACCATATGATTTAGGAGAGAAGGTGGGCATCTGTGTTTTGAATTCCATATTCATAGTTATGCCCACTAACCTTTCATTCCTTGACCTAACAAGAATCTACCACTACCACCTTAAAAATATGAAATGACCCCAATGCCACCAATTTCTGAGGCAGAGTTTCATCATTGCACATTCCTTTGAATGAAAATATTTTCCCTCATCTATTGTGGAAGGGCAACCCCAAGTTTTAAACAGCATCTCCTAGATTTAGATTTTTCTTTTTAAATTTGTTTAGGGGACATGGACATTGTAGGCTGCGCCAGTATTTTATTGTACATGACAAGGCTCCCCATTATCCACAGCATGTTATCCCTTCAAAGAATTTCAGAAGATTTGTAAAATATGATTTCTCTTTCACAATACCATGCTGTCTCTTCTCTATTATCTTGAGGTTTCCAAATGCTCAGTTATATCCTATTTAAATGATCAATTCTAACACCTTCCCTACATTGGATGTCAAAATAATTGGCTTGTTTTCTCCCACCCTTCTTGCAGAAGTACAGTTGCTATATTTGCTACTTTCCAGTCTAGTGGAACCTTTCCAGAATTCCACACATTTTGGAAAATTAACATCAACACATCTACCTCATTAGCAATCTCTTTAGGGCTCTAGGGTGGAGTCCATCAGGACCTGGAGACTTATCAACCTGCAGCTTCATCAGTTTGCTTAACACTTTTCTCGAGTAATAATTTCATGGCTCCTCTCTTCCTCAAACCTCCTGAAGTTCACATATTACTGAGATGTTTTGTATTCTGTATAGAGAAAATTGGAGGAAAATACTTATTCATTATACCTGCCATTTATTATCCACTATTAATTCCACGCTCTCACCTTCTTTAGAGGACCACTCACTTTTCTTGCTCTTTTTATTACTTTTCCTACTCTATTCCTTTTTAGATACCCATAGACCACAAGACCGTAAGAAATAGGAATAGGAGAATGCCATTTGGCCCCTCAAGCCTGTTCCACCATTCAATAATATCAAGGCTCTTACAACCTGTTTTTAAATTTCTAGTTAGTTCTTACTTTTTTTTTGTCTTGATGAACCTTTTAGTTACTTTCTGTTGTTCTTTATATTCTGATCAATAATCTGACCAACCACTCACCTTTGTGCAATTATGTTTTTTTCTTAAGTTTCATGTCTCCTTAACTCGTTTAGTTAACCAGGAATGGTGGGTCCTCCACTTGCAAATTTTCTTAATAGGAGGCATGTACTTATTTTGGCTATCGTGAAATATCCCTTTGCATATCTGCCTCTGCTTCTTTCCTAATTCATCTCAGAGCCTAATATCCCAGTTTGCTTTAGATAGCTCAGCAGTCATGTCCACATAATTACCCTTTAATTTTAAAATATTAGCCTTAGACAGACTCTTCTCCCTTTCAAATTGGATGTAAAATTTAATCATGTTGATTATGCTGCTACTGAGAGTTGCCTTCACTCTGAGGTCATTAATTAATCCTGCCTCTTGCGCAATACCAAGTCCAATATAACTTGCTCTCTGAGATAACAAGGTGTGGAGCTGGATGAACACAGCAGGCCAAGCAGCATCAGAGGAGCAGGAAGGCTGACGTTTCAAGCCTAGACCGCTCTCTGGTTGGTTCCAGAGTATGCTGCTCTAAGAAGCTATCAAAAGCATTCTATGAACTCCACTGGACTATTATCCATTTTATTTTACCAGTTTGCATATGGATTAAATTCACTCATTATTATTGCCATTACTTTATCACAAGCATCCAACACGAAGAATGATTCTTCCTACTGGTTACTGTTTGAGAGGTCTGTAGATCACTCCAAGTGACTTTTTTCCCCCACTATTACTCCTTATCTCCACCTAAGCAGTATGATCTCCTGAACTAAAGTCATTTCTAACTATTGCATCAATACCGTCTCTGTTTGAAAGTACTATCCCTTGTCCTTTACCTAGCTCCCTATTATTCTCTAATGTCATATACCCTCAATATTTAACACCAAATCCCAATCCTGCAGCCATGTCTTTGTTACAGTTATATTTACAATTGTTACAATTATATTTATTCATTTCAATGTGCACTATTAATTTACTATTATATATGTTACATACATTCAGATACAGAGCCTTTATTAAGCTTGTTCTCTTTGTGGCATCTAGTCTTGACCACTGGTACTTTGTTAGGCTATTTCTCTGCATTCCTTCCTGCCATTCTCTGACCTTAGTTTTCCACATTAGTATTTTGCTTTATCATAATGCAGTTAAGAAGTTTGGAGCATTTTATTATGTTGAAGAGATTGTACAAATGGAAGTTGGTATTTCCTCTTTAATTCAATAACTTTCAATTTCATTTGAGGCATGACAAAATTATTAACAGAGTTGGAAACAATGTTTAAAATAGTTTGCTGCACATTAAGACAGCTTGTTTTAAAATTATAGTTGAGAAATGTGAGAAGTATGATCATTTTATTTAAAGCTTATGAATTTACACATTTCCTGTCCTTTCCTCATTCTCATGAAAATAAAATCACTCAGTGGTTTAGAGCCCATGGTTTGACCTAGTCAAAGTGAGCATCAAGTCCACTTTTACTACAGGGTAACCAAATGGCAGTATGTTTGATTCCCTAAAGTCACTGGTTTGCAGAGTTACAAGTTCTGCATTCTATAATCCAGGATCTTGTTGTCATTAGCCCAGATATTAGTCAAATTAAAGTAATCTGACTGTACAGGATATGAAATCTGCATTCAGGAATGGCTGGACTGGAGAAAATCTCAAAAATCCAAATATAGGTTGTTGGGAGTTCAAAAACAAAGTTTTCAATAGATAGCATTTTTAAACCAATATGTGTTTATACTCGAGAAATAGAAGTAATCAACTTATTTCCTTCGGATACAAATCATCCATTCTAAGATGGTCTCAAGTACATAGATTTATTGGGTTTACTGCAACACCGTTACAGTACACATTCTTAATAATGACATTCACAGGTACAGAATTCAGATACAATTTGATTGTTTTCATAATACTAGGTATAGTGTATTAAATATATGATTTGTAAGCTATTGTTTAACATATCAAATGCTAAACTTTAAAAAAAAACAAACTGGTGAAACATTTAGTGCTCTATTCAGATATTCGTAAAGACCTTCACAACAGCCAAGTATGTGAAAACAATTGCTAAAAACCTAGGACTTTAACTAATATTGAAATGTTTCTTTAGTTCTTGTTCCAGAATTTTTATTGATCAGAAGTAGAAATGGCACGTTATGGAAACAGCATTTTAATATTAATGTTTCAATATCTGATCCAGAAGGAAAAACCCTACAAACATGCATTTGAAATATTCTAAGCATCTTGAAAAGTTTGATGACGTTTCTTTACAATCTGTTCAACGACTTAATAACAAAATGATCCAGAAATCAAAATTTTTTTGCACCATACTTTGTTGCACAAAATGCACTTTAATTGACTAAAATGAAGGGAAAATAATGTATGTATAGTCTTGATTATTTACAATTCAAGCTGTATATGGTGCCAAAAGCTCCTGCCATTTCTTTCAAAGTGCTATGATATTCCTTGTGTGCGCTTACCAGTTCCCTTTATACCCTTAAGACACTGGAATGTTTAAACAAATGCAAAAGTACATACACAAGAAACAACTATTTTACATAATCATTTTTCTAACTGTAAACAAATATTTGAAACATGGCGTTCAGTGCCTGCACCGATATAAAACCAACCCTAAGTACAGGGTATAAAACATTTAATGTAACCAAAAACAAATATAAAAGTTACATTAAATTAAAGTACTGTATGATAATATATGAATGATCCTGGCAATAATTACAATATTTTCTCTCTGTCCCAGGATTATCACTTTTTCGACATATTCACTTCCATTTGCTGGAAAACAAACAAGCATTTCTAGAGAATATTAAACATTCCAGTTAGGACTTTAAGTAATGACATTAAACAATTAAAAAGACTAAACTAATATACTAGTACTGAAAGATGTGCCTTCAACATCCGTTATGCAGTCATAAACTGCTTTGTATTAACTATTCCCTTAAATTGAAAAGCACCATCTTGCACCATGGCTTTGGTCGTACTAGGACTTTACAGCCAGCCACTCTTTGGCTAGCGCACAGCATTTGGAAGGAAAGTCTTCTTTTGTTCCTCTTTCACACTGAAAAACCATCAGACAACTCCATAGTATTAACTGTCTTCTTTTAGCACATGATGGAATGCAGATGTAAGAGTCCCAAACACATTGCAGTGCAAACATCAACTTGCTCGAAAGCTGTGGCCTGTAATCTCCTTTATAGTTCCGCTTTAAATTGTAGCTTAAGCATTCAGATACATGCTCCTTTACAGTATGTTGAGAGCACTGGACACAATATAAGGCAGCTAGCAGTGGAATCATACCATCCAATGAGCTGAACAGCAGAATTAAGGTGGCACAGGTAAAAAGTTAGCAAATTTATACAAATGTCCACACTTCCAAATCTTGCACAATGAAGTCTTCTTTTTTTGACAGTGTTTCATTGTTAAATGTACTACATGGGTTGCTTCGTCCGTGATATAAATCTGCATCAAGCCATAAGCCAAAATGGCCACTGAAATGGAGATTATTAAAAAATTAGGATCATAAAATTTGTTTACAGTAAATTTAGTGTTGATTGTGTGTGTTTATTCATAGCATCGAGCTGGACTTCGTGGTGAGCTCCAAAACATTTCTGAAGAAGGGTCCCAACCTGAAACATCAACTTTCATGCACCTCTGATGCTGCCTGGCCTGCTGTGTTCCTCCAGCTCCAAAACAGTGCTCAATGTTGATTTAAGAAAACTGTTCACACTGATCTGCTGGAAAAGCTCAGCAGGTCTGGCAGCATCTGTGGAGGAGAAAACAGAGTTAACGTTTCGGGTCCGGTGACCCTTCCTCAGGGTTCTGATGCTGCCAGACCTGCTGAGCTTTTCCAGCAACTTTGTTTTTGTTCCTGATTTACAGCATCCGGAGTTCTTTTGGTTTTTGTTCACACTCATCTCTTTGGTATGTATTTTCTTTCCCAATATCATATCTACAGATGTACAGCAGCCATGATATTCAAAAGTAATGTTATCAGCCAATTACAATGAATTATTGTTAAGACTGGAAACCAGGGAATTAAAGCCATTTCATCCCTTCACATTTAAGTTTTCAGATAGCGAAATTAAAGATAATTGGAATTAGAAGATAAGATATTATGAGCAAAGCTTTGAAGGAAAAAAATAGATTGTATCATAACGGGTAACATTCCGTGTAACTGTAACTATGAATTGATTACAGAGTTAACTACCCAGTTACAAAGTGCAAAATTTTCAAGGATTTTCACAGTGACACTAAATGTATAAAAGTGGAAGTTTTTGTGAATGCACTGATGCTTAGGGATTGTAGGAGAGGAGACATCAACACTAGCTTTTGGAGGAGCATATTAAGCTTAGAGGGTAGAAAGCTTTAAAAAGTGGAAACAATTCTGTTGTACTTTGACAGGTACAAAATTCATCTCACATTCCATCACTCTGAGGAAATCTTAACGTATTTTGGTGCAATTTTTTCCCTTTATAAAATCCTCTTACTAATGGTCTTCCCAAAAAATCAAAGTCCTTCACTTGTGGAGAATTCCAGGTTATCAAACAGCTAACAAAATTCAGTCTAAAATTAATGTGATGTAAAGGAGTGATGGGGCTCATTAAAAAGATATTCAAGCCTCCATACTGCGCAAGTACTGATGTTAAATTGTTACCATATCATGAGGTGATTCATTTTTAGTTAAAACCATCAACAGCAATATTGTGGTTGCATTATTTGTTTAAAAAAAAACTTTAAACATAATAATAATATTAAGTTTCAAGTTTATATTGGACACTTCCAGTTGTATTTAAAAGTAACAGTGGCACAGTGATAATATCACTGGATTACTAATCCAGAGCGGTTAGGCTAATGATCGGGGGACACGGATTCCAACCCTGACATAGTAAATTGTGAAATTTGAATTCAGTAATTAAATCTGGAATTAAAAGTTAGTCTAATGGTTACCTTAAAACCATACGGTTCACAAATGTCCTGCAGGGAGCAAAAATCTGCCATCCTCATCTGGTCTGGCCTACATGTGGGCTCCAGAACTACAGGAATGTGGCTGACTCTTAAAAGCTCTCTGAAATGGCTAAGCAACCATTCAGTTGTATTGAACAAAACTGGCTGAAATGAGTGAAACTGGGAGGACCACTGGGAAAAAAAAAATTCTCTTTATTAATATCAGGGCACTTAGGCTGAAATGAGGAGAGCTGTCATAGGAGACTACTCCGTGACAATGACTATGTCCCAGACACTACCATCACCATTACTCCCACTAGAGTTGGTAGAACAGTGATATACAGTCAACAGAGAGTTGTCCTGGGAATCCTCAACATGGATTTTGGACACCAGAGTCCCATGATGTTAACTCAAACATGGGCAAAGAAACCATGTGATGATTATCACCTACTGTCCTCTCTGCACCCACCACTTCAAGAAGGTCTAGCCAGCATCATTTGCATTCCATGAACAAATTAAAAATAAGCTTTGGTAATTAAAATAATAAGATTAGTGTACTCAGTGGATACATACCTGCCTCCACCTAGTTCTAAAGAATCTCGGTCTCCTTTAATGAAGTAAGAGTTTTCTCCACTCCATCTGAATATCTATTGAATTAAATATATTAAATTTATATTCATGTTACTAATAGTGAGGCAATACTGCAAAACTTAATTGAAATTATTCACTAATTGAAGCTGTTCAGAAATTCCAAAATGTAAATTTATTGCACAATACAAACAGCAAATGTTTCAGTCAGAAACATGTTATACTGGAGAATTGAATTTGGAAACATGCAATTGTTCTTGGAATACACAAGACACAGACAAGGCTAATGATATGCCTATCATTAGCTACCCAGCTAAGTGTTTTCTGTTCCTGCATAATTCATACTATGTTAAACTCGATAAGAACCTAATAAAAGAGTTCTGATCCTTTCCCTAATGCCTGTAAGAATTCCTCTCTTGGTTCAAAAAAATGTACAGCACAATAACACCAAGTTTTGTTTCAGAACCTTTAAGTTAAACAGATGACACTTAACAACACATGGTATAAATCCAGTGAATTTTTCAACAACTTTCAAAACTTAAAAGAGGGGTTCATTTTTAGAAATGATTTTGTCAGAACTTCTCTCAACTACCCAAATGCTCCAAAACGTTTACATGCTGCAACTTACCTTCAACTGTGGATTGAATGTGTAGAGAAAGGTTTCTCCTGTACCAAAACAGTGGTCACTTAATCTGAAAGGGTGTGATGCCAATGCTCCAAATATCTGCAAAGAGAATGCAATCTTGGGTTTAGGAACGTATTTATTCCATGATTGAAATATTGAACTAATCAAACATATAAATTATTTGTTCCATCAATTATGTTTACCTGCTTATTTCCTTAAATAGCTTAGATAATAATTTAGTTACCTGGTTATCCATATCTTTGACAACAAGGAGGACAGGAGTATCAATAACAGCCAAACTCCGGTAAAGTGTCCTTAAGCTTGTTCCGTGAACTGCTGTACTGTATGTAAGTCGCCAGGCATAGCCCTGTGTTCTTGCAGGAAGGTGTTGTGATAGCTGATGAGAGAAAAATATTCATTAGTGGACTTCTGTATACACAAAGCACTACAGCCACTACAGTGTGTTCATATACCTGTTCAACGTGAAAACTCTCCAACAGTTCACTAGGGTCTGTAAGAACAGGCTGCAGATCTTCTGCCTCTTCTTCGTAAAAACTCCCAACACTCTGGCGTCGTTTTGCTTCCTCAATGGTGATGATCTGTAAAATAAGTCAATTACAAAATTTGAGGAATTTTTCAAAACTCCCTATCCTCAAATATCCTCAAAGGAAAACTGACGCTGTTCTGACTACTATCCAGCAACTCTGTTGCAGTATGCTTTAAACTGTTGTTGGCCAAACAGTCTTTAGGCTTGGCATAATCACCGACTCGCTTGCTAACACACCCAGTTCAATTTCTCAGAGATTGACAGTTGAGCGAGATACATAGGAACAATAGGATTTAAATATTTGAAAGGATGCAAGATACTATATCATTTGATTTTATTACATCAGAAGTAATACAAGTTATTAAATGCTGAATACATAATTTTACATAGATTAGTTTCCAACAACAGATCAGACATACAGTTCTTTTTTCTGAGTCATGGAAAGGCATTCAGGGATTTCTTACATCTTGGTGAATGTTGATAATGCATAAGCAGAGACCTCAACACAAAAACAATGCTGTAATTAAAAATTAAGTTATTATAGTGTGTCAAATTAAGATAACAGATGACTTTTGTTTAGAAGTATCGAGAAAGGGCTAAATTTACATAGTACTTTTAAAATCTACACTGCACACAGATGATCTCTTTATCATCATTTTAAGCCCATGATTGAAAAACAACAAGGACTACTTAGAAGAAAACTGGAAATACAGCTCAAGGCAATTGTTGCACAATTTTAAACATAAAAGAAAGCTGGAAAGGAAAACTACTATATAAATTTTTACCAAAAAAAATTGGTCATTGTAAAGGGAGTTATTTCTCAGTAAATCTTTATTAAATTTCTTCCAGAAATCTTTCTGCTTTAAAAAAATCCAAAACTGAATTAATTGAAGGAAGGAAAAATACATGACTGACCTGTGCAAAGGATCCGTCATCTCCGTTTGCTTCGAATACAATTCTAATGTTATTTGGCATTCCAGTGCGCCTCATTTTTGCACGTGGATTTCCACAAAACTCTGGTTGAACACTTGGAAGTAGCAATAGTGTAACTGCCTCTAACTGCTTACAGGGTGAGTGCTTCTATGTTCCAGTGTACTTGATTGGCTGTTCCTGCATGATGTGCTACTTTCCATTCGGGCATAGCAACTTTTGATTTGCTCAGAAACGAAACATGCTCTTTGCATAAAACAAAATTGGAAACTTGCCAAAGTTCCCTTCCCTTCTTTAACACCCTGCATAATACATTGTCAGACCAACTGGAAGTGCAGTGCAATCCTACGTTTGTTTCTATTTTGCTATTCTATAAACATGATACTCTATTCAAGGTTTTTGTGAAATTATAAATTATTTCTATTTCAGTGAAATTTTACCACTCGAGTTTGATTTTACATTTTCTGAATCTAAATCATCTTTTATATCCATCCACCAAAACCAATTTACTTTTGAACAACAAACCAAACCAACCCCAATACCAACCATATGGAGGCATACATTGTGTTAAAACCAAAATTCTCTTTAAATCCAAATTTGTTTAATAGTACCCAAGGCATCTTGTTGTAAAATTTGGCAGTGCTAATTTAGGAGAAAAATGGCATCTTGAGCCACTGGGTATTACAGCAAAGGCTCTGAGCTCACCACTTAGTCATAGCGGTTTCAACTGCAGCTCCCCTCAGGCTGCAGACAAGAGATGGAGCAGGTGCAAAAAAGATAAGCATTTCACAGGAAGAGGAAATCGGGTGCAGAGAAGAGAAGCCCCCAGCATGAAAGCTTACCCACCTAAATACATAAGGGAGCACTTCCACCTATATCTGAGCCAGGAACAGTAGATTATGCTAGAAAACCAACTGGTTGAGATATGGTATGCAAGATTGCTCTCGACTACTTGTATGACATCGTTAAACTTCTGGGACTCGATTGAGGGCACTGACTACTACAACACCACTTCCCTTCTCTTCCACACCTTTTCAGTATACTTTTGGAGGGCCTCCTAATCTCAAGAGGAAAGGACAGTTCTCTTGTTGATCTCCTGCATAGCGTCTAAAACCCTTGGTCCTCTCTGGCCTGTTGTTGCACCAAGTTTTCCACTTCAGCTCCTACTGTAACCAGAATGCATCATGTCTTTAATTACTCAAGTTATTTCTTTAATTAGTCAAAACAAGTTTAAGTGGCTGTATACTTTACTCTCACTCGTGCAATCACTCTGCAGTGCTTTCATCGCTATCACTTAAAGTAGCACGATGTGTGACTTCTGTATGCTGCCTGCATCACTTCGAACAAACATAGGAAACTGCACACTGTTCCTGGATTTGGATGCAGGAATGGCCATTGTATTGTTAACTTTTGGAATTTGGGCAAATGGAAGGGGTCATTTTTTTTTTAAAAAAACTGCTCGTCTTCCTCTTGTAAGGTGCATGTGGGACCAAAATGAAGGGGTGGTTGTTGTGGAATTTTGTACAAAGATCTCCCACAAGACCCACCTATTTTAACTAACCTGAATTCTTACACAACATGACTGCTAATCCGAATGAGCATGGCCCATGTTAATTCCTACATCTGCATCCCAATGATAGTGTCAGAACATATATGTCATTGCAACCTCTGGCTTAAGATTCACAAAGTCTTTACCTCAACTGCCAACTGGTAGCAGGAATCTTCCAGATTAGAGAAGATGCATGCAAATGTTTCCAAGCCCTACTTTAAGAGCTTTTGGTGTCCAGGAGATGGAGGGGGGGATTCTGTAGCTTCACAAAATAGGTTTCCTCCATTGGATCAACCTCAGATTTCCCTAGTTGTTCCATTTATGAATTACCTTGCTGGAAACATTTGATAAATCTCCCAGGTGCCAGAAGTGCACCCATCAGCCTCCCATCAATCAATTTAGAGTCCTGCCTGTCAGTTTCTGGTAGAAATTATGGGCAATTTAAACAATGTCCAGGAGTTAAAATATCTCCAATCTCATAACGATGTGTACAGATGATTTAATCCCCTGCATTTACATCTTGCCACAAGTTAAAATTGGCAGCACAGAAGCACGATATAAACAGCTTATAAAATAATACAATAAAATTTACACGAAAAACATTTTAGGATACAGTTTTTTTCAAATAGCTTGGAGTGAGATTTTAGCACAAGTAAAATAGGTGAATAAAAATTTGCTAACTTTCAGAACAAGTATTAAATGTTTCCCATCAGTGACCCTATAATGACTACAATTCTAAGAAGTTACACTGGGTAACCTTATAAAGGACTCAAAGTAAATGTTATCCATCACCTATTCTTAATGCCATGCAATTTGTTTCAAGTCTTCATGTCATGACAACATTTAGAAAAAATGCACATTCTTTGATGGGCAGGCCAGGTCTTGGAAACTTGAATGATTTTCTCAAGAATAATTCCACAGCAATTTATGCCAAGTTTTTCTTTTAAACCCTTGCCTTTTTATGCATGTAAAACCACAAGCTTGAGCAAATTCAATTCTAGAAACGGTACATTCCTGTTGGAGTTAAAACTAAAAGTAGTCAGTTTCTACATGTCACTTCCAGCATATATTTCAAGTTGAAACTTGCATTACTAAGCCACCCCAGTATCAATAAAAATCCGGCAAAATCAAGAGAGATCAATGTAAGAGATAAAATAAATATTACAAATATGTCAGAGATAGTAGGAACTGCAGATGCTGGAG